TTATATTTATATTGTGAGATCTTTACATAATGCACAATGTGTCGAGTCGCGTTGCCACTCTTAAGCCCAGCTTACCTTTCCATCTGCTCACTCCCTTCGGCCCTCTGGCTGTTAACTTTTTCCTATTTTTTGTACGCTTCTTTTCGTCCAGTTTTGACTCCCAGTTTCCTGTTGCTCTATCATAGGCTTCTATCAAAGCCGAATCGTCCCAGGCGTTCGGCCCGTGTATATCCAGCGGAATATTATAGATTATGTCAGACATTCCTGTGCTGTATATATTGCTATAGGTTATTTACATAAGTGCTTGTACAAATTACGGAACGGAAGATTACACAGTCTGTATATCTCTGTTTCAACAATCAGCATATGTACTTATTTATTAACGGCAGGACGTTCAGAATATGGTGTGGTTGATGACTCTCTAGTTGCAATACATGCGCCTAAACCCTGTCAGCCGGCCTCCATTTTCAGAAGAAGGCTATGAAATTTGGTATATATAAAAATAGAAAATTCAAACCGGCTACCACCAGTGACCAAGGACGCCAACTGATCCTCTAGTAGAGGCTCTTTTTGTTTTTGTTTTTGTTTTTTTTTAACAACCCATCCATGTACTAAGGGGATAAACCAGGGCCAAAAATAAAGAAGCGTTCCTGATTTACTAAATCTGGACTTCAATCTATTCCCAATTTTTTTGGCAATATTTCAAGATTAAGTATTTCGTAAACGATCTGTGAAGGCGCCAAGGTCGTAGTACAAGTGGAACACCTTCTTTGCTTAGGAGTCTTAACCCTACAACGGAAACCTCCAAAACGCGATTATTGGGTCTAAATTTGCATAACTAGTAAAGTTTCAAAGTTGTCACGGACAATTATTGTCAAAACAATATCGTATATGCATTCTTATAACCTTATTGCAAGCTACAGCTGCAAAATCGAGAAAAAGTGTGTTTATGTCATTTTGCCATGCCATCAATTTCCATCAATTGCACGTGTGCCGTGCCATCGAGTGCACGATGAACTCATTTCCTTAACTTTTTGCCAAAATTCACTACTTATTCACCTACAAACGATTACAATACCATTTTTAAGGTTTAATTATGCTTATATATATATAACGAAGGTCTGAAAATCATATTGAAAACATATAATTGAATATGCACACCAAATGAGTGTCATTGATGGACACGCATGCACGTAAATGGTGATTTTGAGCAAGCATAATAAGCCTTCTATACCACAAAGATGATTTCTGAACTAATAATACTTGTATTTATTATATATTAGAACCCTTAGAAGGTTCACACTGCTAATACGCGACCTGGAAATCCAAGATTTGACAAGGTCGAAAAGTGCACAATCCTGTTCATAAATCGATACATAACTGTATGAACCAGTAGAGTTATCAACTTGGCTCCTTCGCAAAATTTCTAAATTTACAATGCCATATATATTTTGATATGTGAGTCTCATATATATATATATATATATATGTGTGTGTGTGTGTGTGTGTGTGTATATTGTATATATATATATATATATATATATATATATATATACAATACACACATATATATGTATAAGTATATATATATATATATATATATATATATATAATACACACATATATATGTATATATATATATGTATATATTGTATATATATATATATATATATATATATATATATATATAATACACACATATATATGTACATATATATATACATGTATATATATATATATATAGTGTATATATATATATATATATATAATACACACACACATATATATATATATATACATATATATCATACTATATATATATATATATAGCACACACATATATGTTTATGTATGTATGTATATATATATATATATATA